GTTAAAGTTCATTTTCACAACACCACAGTATAGCCAACCTAGCGCTGTGTTTGTTCCTGTTGTTTTTCTGATGATTGATACAATAACCTACGCTGCAATGCGGGATTCGCCAGCCGTTGCTATTAAAGGAGCAGTAGAAAATGGGGGACTTTGTCAGTAACTTTTACTTCAAATAGACCAGTTTCTTTTTCCTCCGGATCATAACATATAAGTATTATTAAAATTGTTGCCTCGTTTTGTGTAGTTTGCAAAAATATGTGTTTAATTGTGTGTTGTGAGTTGTAATCACCCTGCATGGCTTGTAATCACGTTTTGATTATAGATCAGTGCTTTTACTGTATCTCTCTGGTTAAATCTGTATGGGGCTGATCACATATCATGTTCAAAACCATGTTGAAAATAGGACGCGTGCTTCTTCCTTTAACGATTTAAATGCATTTCTGAACTCTCAATCCTCTGCTGTTTGCCTTTGCTATGGCCCCCATCAGCTGTTCCTCATACGCAGTCAATTTTCAAAATAGTTCAGCTTTTGCCACTGTGTGGATTAATACTGAATGTCTTTCGTAATTACTTGGGGTTAGGGTTAAGAGTAGAGTATTATGCTGGTGTTTAACTGCATTGCTTTATTGCATTCCTGCATTGGGCTCTCACATTTTCTGTGCTGCTTCATAGTGCAGCCGTGGTGGGCATTTCTCTTTGTCTTGTGCTGAATGCAGTCGATCAATTGCAATAGACAGAACCATCGTTCTAATCAGCGCAGATTGGCTTTGTTGAACGAAGGGACAAAGCCGAAGGAAAATGAATGAGTGATTGAATGAATGAAAGAATGATTGAATTATATGTACTGAATATTTATGCAATTTTTTAAGTATTGAACAAAGGGGCACACAGTTGTCCGTGTAAACTTTTAATCCAATGATGGGGGCAACATAGGACAGAAAACAGCCTATTCTTTTAAATTATTTAGATATTAATTATTTAATTATTACTTTTAATTATTTAATGTTACATTTTTAAAACATTCTTCACACCAAGAAAAAAAAAATGTTGTTTTAAGCAGTGCTTCCCAAAGTGGGGGTCGCGAGACAATGACAGGGGTCCCTTGGTGATTTCCAAAAGTCAAATAAATTTTATTAAACTCTTAGAATTACTATATTTTATCCAAAACCCACAGAAGATAAAAATAGTAGTTAATAGTTACATAAAAACAACAACATGCAAATGAAAAGCCATCAGCCTTTCAGTTATTTTATTCATAGGATTGGTGTGTTTACATTAGATGAACAACACAGCAATTGCTGCGTTATATTTCTACAATGTTTACCATTGCTGATCCTCATAAACCTAAGCCATATTTCTCATTACTTGCCAGAAATTCCAGTGTCTACCATAAACAACTGGCTGAGCAAAACAAAAAAGGTGTAGCAACTGATAAATGAACCGAGTATATGGGAGCATAACAGAAACTTCAAACAGATTCACATTTGGATGGTGGCACTACATTGTTCACAGATCTGTTTGACAACTAAATCCACTGAGTAAGCGAATATTGGCTTTCGTTTCAGTTTGCACCGCCATCATCACCAAACAAATATGAAGACTGCTTCCAAACAAACTGCCACTGGTCGCCGCAAACTCGTGGACAAAGCGCCACACAGCCTGAATGTTTACAGATTGGGGGCTGAATCAACTGTTATGGTTGTATCTGCTCATTAAATAGAAGAGTACGATTATTTTAACATTCAAAACTACACACTTCAGCTTTTAAAAATAGCTCTTCCTGTTATGTGTTAAGTCCATTCAGTGTTTCGTGGGAGTTTTCTGACAATGTGAGATTCAATGAAGAGAACAGACCGTCCAGGAAAGTTACTCAGAGATCTCAAAGGCTTTCATGGGTTTAAAATAGTAATTCATCCAGGCAGATTTTCATAATAGCATGACAATCGTGGCACAAAGAAATAAGCGAGCGCTCTTGTGATGAAAATAGCTAGACGCAACATTCAAATGGCGTCTTTAAAACGTTTAAGGTTCGAGACGTGGAAAAAAAAACATTGAGAAACAATTCAAAAATAGTCTAGACTCTTGAGTGTATTGACCCTTCTATAGTTTCCTAGATGGCTATTATTCGAGTGCCATATGAGATGAGTGAGTAAAGAGATAAAGCCGCAACTATTTGTCTAGATAGATTTCACTGACAAACATATAAGATTGACTTCTGGAGAAGGGGGTTTTACATCCACGCTAACTATCCTTTGTATCAGATAACATAAGGTTTATTTAATGTGGGCATGTTGACTAAACAGTTGAATTAATCGGGGTTGGCAGAGAGTCGTTTAAAAGAGTCAATCGGCAGTGGTTACTGATGCTAGGCTGGCTTATAGCAGACAGTCATGTGCGAGTTATAGGGAAGGCCCTTGTCATAACATACATGCTTTATGTACACAACTGGAGTGCCAGGATTTTAGGAGCAGGAAATGTTTTTATGGACTAAGGCTAGGTGTTGACGAAGAACTGCAGATGGTGGAGATCGACCGCAAAAAAGAACATATCCCCTCTCTCTCTCGCAGTTTAGTATGACAGGCGTTTTGTGCTTGGATTCTGTTGAGCTGTTTCTCATCTGATGGCTTGAACAGAGTTTGTTTGTCATTAATAATCTGATCCACACAGAGCAGAACTCCTCTGCAAAATCTGGCAGATTTCCACTCACGCCATTCACAAAGTTGCTCTACACATCGGCACCATTCGAGAGTTTGTTTATTAAATGTTTTGGTTCATTTGATTTTACAAGTGTGCAGTTCCATTTTTTTTTTTTGCTTTATTATTTTGGTTTTAATTGAACTCACAGACCTATTTACACCTCATATTATGATGAATTAGGATTGATTGGATCAGAAGTTGTTACAGTCACCAGCAATGTAACTATTGCAGATATTTGGAGAACTACAAATCTGCCACATATACGAACTACGACCTTCCAGCATGCACTACACACACCGGTTCCTCATTCTGTTGATTACACATTCACAGCCGGAGGTTCGTTATGAACTTATACTTGTACTTCAAAAGCAGAACAGACACTTGTCTTTGCCTAGCTAGACCCTTGCTTTGTTTTATTGTTTATTCCTGTCTGCTTCCTGCCTTTTGAACATCTGCCTGTTTATTGACCATGACTCTGCATTTGACCATGACTCATACATTTGTTTGCCCCTGTGCTGACCGTTGCTTGCCTGACCATTCTATGTTGAATAAACCCTGCATTTGGATCCGCACTTCTTTGACAGCATCCCACTTCACAAAACAGAAATAACCCCTGTTTTAATCAGTCTTATTTGTCAACAATTTTTGATCCTTTTCCCCTTTTCCTCAAAAAGAGCCTAAATCGGGAGGTGTGTCTACAGTACAAGGCCTTTTTTCTAATCTTGATAAATGGTGTTGAAAGAAGTGTCCTTGCGATTTCCTGCAGTTGAGGTTTTAACATATAAATTGTCCACTGTATCTGTTTGGATTTTGTTTTTGCAAACATTCCCCAAAAAGCATATTTAAGATTTGTATCTATCAACCAATATATCAGTTATTGGCTTCTAAATACAGAAAGCTACATTCATTAATCTCTCAATGTTCTATTGCTATATTTCTCAACTTAACTTAGTGTTTTGCGCCATACAGAGATGCACCTTTTTTTAAATTTTGAAACTACTAAATATTACTGTTGTTGTGCATAGATCTCTGTTTGATTGAGTACTTTAAGTGTAGTGTTCCTACAGAGTGCAACAAGAAATTGTTTTTGTAAAGTGTTCCCTTAAAAACCAGACTATTGCAAATGAAACCTCCAACAATTAGGAATTATGAGTCTAGGCTCTGTCCATACGGCAACAGATTTAGGTCAATCCTCAAAAGTCTAATATTGCTTTGGCCTTCTGTCCACAAGACACCAAGAGATGTTGGTGCCCTAAAACAAATGATATATGTATGAATAAGAAACTTTTTGAATCTGCAAAAGAAAAAAACACAAACATTGTCATGTGGAAGAAGCTTTAAAGGAAACACCAAAATTAATTTTTTTGAGATGTTGACAGTCATATATATATATACCATGTTGCTAAAAACACTAATTGGACACATAAATTTGACAAAAAAAATGAAAACTGGTTGTTTTTGAATTATTTAGAGAAAATTATTTCTTCCGTCCTGGAAGATGTATGTACCGGTCGGTACAACGTGACGTCTTAGAGTTTACAGCATTAATTCATTAGAAAGTCTTTGTTCAAACCAATCAGCGTGCTCTATTGTAAATGAGGTGCAACTTTATCAATATGCATTATGCTCCGCTTGGCGCCACACCACACATCGTCCTGCATTTTAAAATTCTAAACATAGGTTTCTATTAGCGTACGCACAAGGGAGCCTCAAGTCGGTGGCTGTCTGTGGCACCTAGCTACAACTCAGAACACTGTTCATACTTCTGCCATGTCACAGAGTGCCATCGGGTGTGTGTTACTTACAACTGCCATGTGCACGGCTTGGTGCCAGGCAGCACATCCAGTTTGTGACCCCCTTTAATTTCATGATTTGAATGTTTTTATATTATTTCAACCAATTGTTATTTGTAGTTTTCATTTGCTGAGTACTCTCAGCTCCATTTTTTACAACAGGAAAATTGTGTGGAGTTTCTCTAAACCAGGGGTGTCGAAACGGTGTTTTACAGATTTTAGCTCCAACTTGCCTCACTAAAACTGCACAGATGTTTCTAGAAAGCTTGATTAGCTAGTCTAGGTGTGTCTAATTGGGGTTTGAACTAAACTTTGCAGGACACCGGCCCTCCAGGACCGAGTTTGGGCACCCCTGCTCTAAACATTTGCTTTATTTTGGACCACTTTTTTGTTTGATTTTCAATGTTATGATGTCAAAAATGGGATTAAATGCAAAATCTGAACATTAAACAATGCAAATCTCCAGCCAAACATAAAGGTAATCAATTGTCTCTTGTCTTTTGTCCACAGGAGATGCCCCTGATGTCCTGAAATTTGACATTTCCAAGGAGGGCAGCACACTGTCAGTGGTGGAGCAGGCCAACGTCTGGCTGTTCCTCAAAGTAGCCAAGGGCAGCCGAGTGAAGGGAAAAGTATCCGTTCAGCTCCTTCAAAATGGCAAAGCTGATTCAGGCTCCACCGATAGACCAGAGGACCAAGTGGTGTCTGAGAAGACCATAGATACACGGCGTAGCGGCTGGCACACATTACCGGTACCCCGCACAGTGCAGACCCTGCTGGACGGGGACAGCAGCTTGCTCAGTCTCCGTGTCTCCTGTCCGATGTGTGCTGAAGCTGGCGCTGTACCCATCCTAGTGCCGGCAGAAGGAAACAAAGTCAAGGAGAGAGAACAATCTCACCGGCCGTTCCTCATGGTGGTACTTAAACCAGCTGAGGAGCACCAGCACCGGCGCAGCAAGCGAGGCCTGGAGTGTGACGGTAAAATCCGCGTCTGCTGCAAGCGCCAGTTCTACGTCAACTTCAAGGACATCGGGTGGAGCGACTGGATCATCGCTCCATCTGGTTATCACGCTAACTACTGCGAGGGCGACTGTCCCAGTCATGTGGCGAGCATCACAGGCTCTGCGCTCTCCTTCCATTCCACCGTCATCAATCACTATCGGATGCGCGGGTACAGTCCGTTTAACAACATCAAGTCGTGCTGCGTGCCCACGCGCCTGCGGGCCATGTCCATGCTCTACTACAACGAGGAGCAGAAGATCATTAAGAAAGACATCCAGAACATGATAGTGGACGAGTGCGGCTGCTCATAACTCCAACTGTTTATTGTTGGTACAAAGCACATATCAGCGGATTGAGGCGGTCTGTGTTTCACCCACAAACTTTTGAACTGCAAACTCGGACAACCTGTCTTGTTTCTGGATCATTCCAACAGGACTGGTTGTTGGAGAGGTCTTCGTGGCACTTTCATATTAAAAGAAAAAAACGATGGAGGGAGAATAAAGCATAATATATTTTTTTTAATGAAGGAATGGAGACGGGAGAGGGAACGGGTGCATGGGGCAAACGTTCAGCCCTGATTCTCTGCACTGCAATAAAGAGACTTATTTTGAAGTGTGGAACTATATATTCTGAGAGGAATGAGGAGGGAAAAAATCATGCAACTCTATGCAAGACAAGTATTATTACTGGATGTTCTTCTTTTTATTATTATTTGTCTTTTAGCGTTTGTTTAATGTTGTTTTTAATGTTGTCCCTTTCCTCACGAAAAGTCATTTTGTTTAGTGCGTCTTTAAACGAAGTAGTTGTTTTGATTTCGTTTTTTCTTTTGAGAAATACTTGAACAAATTTAGTTTGACCAGCTGCTGGAGCCAAACTACTTTATTATTATTTTTATAATATTATTATTATTGATAATCACCTATTAATATTATTATTTTTCTCCGAAACATTCTGAATGTTAAAGAAAAGTAATATAAATTTGCACTAAGCCAACATTTGTACCATGTGAGCCCCAGAGAACTGCGGGCCGCATTCCAGTTGCCATATCATAGTCTAGAACCATAAACATTTGGTTAAACTTACACATAGAAAACCAAAGACCATACACACCCTGTTCACAGAGCAAATCCCCAAAACGCCCGGCTCGGTGAATTTAATCAAATTAGGAAACAACTGTGTATGGCCAACATAATACCATTAACTCAATATAGCACATAAAATAACTTTTTTGTTTTGTTGTTTGTTTGTCCTTTTCCTGAAACAGCCTCAATGTTAAGATACTTTTTGCTCTCTGTGTTTTTTCGACAGTGTTTGTCTCTGCCAACGTATAACAAAGGTCTTAGTATCTGAACTGAAACCTAGCCTTCAGATGCTGTTCTCCACAGAAATATTCAGAGATAGAAACAATGTCCTGGCAATGTTGGGTTAAAAGTACAAGACGCTAAAGGAATTTACTTTGTTTTATGTAGAGTTATGCAACATATGATTTATTTATGTGTTGCTATGTTGTAAAGAAAATCGAAATATGTGCTTGTCATGTTTTATATCTAATTTATTTTGCAGCATATTCTTTGCTTCACTATTAAAAGCTGAATTGTACAACTTCAACTTTTGGTTTAAGTGTTTACTAGGCTGTGTCTTGACTTTTAGTCTAATTTTTGTAATCTTGTACATGACCTTAAATATCAGCTATGCACAGCCAAGGCAGATGCTGTGCAAACTGGTGTGAACTCGGGGGTCATTTTTAGCCATGCATATATTGTCTAATGAGAGGTTTCGGTTGTTAGGAATCAGAGATATTATTGGCTGGCTTTAAATAAGATGTTCTCACATTGTCAGCAACTTTTCATTTACAGTTAACACATCCATGTTCTCAAAAAATACTGATATTTATGATATTTTACTGTTGAATGATTATTTTAATACAAAGAATGTACTATAATAAGGTCAGTAATGTTTTATATGCCAGGTTTTAGGGGACTGTTTGGTACTTCATTATATTTAAGCAACAGCTAGAATTTACAGTGCATCTGGAAAGTATTTATAGCGCTTCACTTTTTCCACATTTTTTTATGTTACAGTCTTATTCCAGAATGGATTGAATTAATTTATTTCCTCAAAATTCTACACACAATGCCCCATGATAACAGTGTGAAAAAAGATTTTTTGAAATTGTTGAAAATTTATAAAAAAAATAAATAAAAAAGCTGAAAAATCACATGTACATAAGTAATCACAGCCTTTGCTCAATATTTTGTTGATGCACCTTTGGCAGCAATTACAGCCTCATGTCTTTTTGGATATGACGTCACAAGCTTGACACGCCTGTCTTTGGGAATTTTGTTTATTCCTCTTTGCAGTACCTTTCAAACTCTTATTAGGTTGGATGGGAAGCGACGGTGTACAGCCATTTTTAGATCTCTCAAGAGATGTTCAATAGGATTAGGGTCTGAGCTCTGGCTGGGCCACTCAAAGACATTTATTGAGTTGTTGTGAAGCCACTCCATTGATATTTTGGTGGTGTGTTTTGGGTCATTTTTCTGCTGGAAGATGAACTGTCGCCCCAGTCAGAGGTCAAGAGCACTCTGAAGCAGGTTTTCATTCAGGATGTCTCTGTACATTGCTGCATTCATCTTTCCTTCTATCCTGACTCATCTTTCAGTTCCTGCTGCTGAAAAACATCCCCACAGCATGATGCTGCCACCACTATGTTTCAATGGTTTTTCAAATCATGTCCAATCAACTGAATTTACCACAGGTGAAGTCCAATTTAACTGCTAAAACATGATCAGTGGAAACAGAATGCACATGAGCTAAATTTGGAGCTTCACGGAAAGGCTGTGAATACTTATGTACATGTGATTTTCCAGGTTTTTTATTTTTAATAAATTTGCAACAATTTCAAAAAATCGTTTTTAACATTGTCATTATGGGGGATTGTGTGGAGAATTGAGGAAATAAATGCATTTAATCCATTTTGGAATAACATAAAATATAAAGGCTGTAACATAAAATGTGGAAAAAGTGAAGCGCTTTCCGGATACTTTCCGGATGCACTGTATTTTTAAACATAGACCTAAAATGACACTTTAAACTAAAAATGTGAAAAATCTTGTATGCTTAAGACCTCATTTAAATGCATTGCAAAAATTAAAACTAAAACTAAAGCAAAATTAAAGCACTTTTTAAATGTTAAAAAGAGATATTGTGATAAATGCACAAAAATGCTACAGTCATTTGATTTTTAGTATCTACTGATAACGAAACCTGATCTGATACTTCTATAATACATAACAAAGAGTGAAGAAAGAGATCCAGGTTCCTTATTTTTTATTTAATTCACCTTTTTTATTTTTAATTTAACATTCAACAATTCTGTTAACAGACAGAGCACTTCTGTAAGGTAGCTTGAACAATCAAGTAATAACATCAATTCTTCACTTTTGGACTGTGGTGCAACAGTAAACATAAAAAAAAGATCTAATATAAAAACAAATAGCACCTCAATTTAAAATCCCCAGCAGGCAATCCCAAGTTTACATATCTCACAGTTTGCTATGTCAATGTTGTTGTCATCAACTTTATAATACCTCCAGACCAGCTTTCCACTTCAAGCTGCTTCCGTGTTCTACTTTGCTGGCATTTAAGCAATAGCCCATGTTGTCAGATATAGCTGATTTTTTCAGCCCAAAAGCTGTCCGAAACCCACCAAAATGCAAAAAAAGGCCCATAATTATAGATTATTTTTTATTTTATTTTAATTTATTTAAATAGAAAATTACCCTAGTTACTTTAACTGTCAGAATTTTTAACACCAGCAGTCACACAACATAACCGAAACACTGCCCCCCTTTCACCCACACACTGCAATGTTAAGAGTGTGTTTTACTTTTGAAATGGGGTATTAATTCGTCCTATTTTGGCGTTTTAAATGATTTTGAACAGAGCTAGGTTATGCATGTCAATCAGACGACGCTTCTATGTTTGTTCTTGCTGTCAATAGTGAAAAAAAGCATAGATAAAAGTGTCATGATAAACTTCTGTGAGTTTAACTGTATAGGCACCGCGGGATGCGGATACATGCGAAGGAGAGTCAGATTTTTCCTCCTCTTGCGGGTGGGCCCACACAGTTTGTGCTATGCACTGGTCACTACTAACTGAATGGAGTAGGAGCATACAGTTATATTTTGTTAAATAAGTTGCATATAAAATTTACGTTTCAAAACCACCCAAATTTTGTCAACCCGCCTAAGCTATTTTTTTTACCCGCACAATCAAATTCAAAACAGCCCAATCTAGCAACACTGCTAATAGCGTCTCTGCAACAAAGTGATGTCATGCCGCACGGGTTGCTGTTTCTGTGGGGAGTCAAGAAGGAGGTCTAACTCTGTGCCACTGTATAACTATTGATGTGTTCAAAAATTATGAGAATATTTATAATATGCTGATCGAGAGGTAAGGTCAAATTCCGATCGAGTCTGAAACCACTTGAAAGTCACTTGATCTGATCTGGACATACTACTATCAAATTTTATAGAAAACAAATATCTTTAAATAATTAAATACATAATAAAGATCAACATTTAAATAAATCTATTCAAGTTTTCAATTTGATGTTAATATCTTTAAAATTATCTTAAAGTGAGATTTTGTTTGGGAAAATGTAGGGATTTGTATGTCTGCTGTCATACGGAAACAAGTTAACTTTATAGTCAAGAGGATTAAAAAAACATACTATTTAAGGGGAGGTTTCTTGGACAGAGTTTAAATTAAACCAGAAGTAGGCTTTAATCTAGAACAGTTAATCATGGGTTTTTGAAACACAGATTAAAGTAAACACAGATTATTAACACCTGAACTGTACTAAACTAAACATGATACATTTAAAACCACCTCTGCAAATCACAACTAGCTGGACTGAGGTTGCCTATAAAACATGGAATGAACCTGGAAAGTTTTGAATTGTATGCAACTGAGAAGCTAATGGCAAAGACAGCTGAAAAGAGACTGTGATGTGAAACATGAGAAAAGTCTTTTAAAGGAAATAGTTTCAAGACTTCCCGCACGGATCAGCTGTTGAATCAAAGAAAATGGCTGCCTGGAAATCTATTTGTGATGAATTGGACGCTTTGACTTGACTTAAGGTTTTCAAACAAATAATGGTCATTTTTAAGCAATATGATCTCTTATTTCTAACGGATTAAACAGAGTTGAGAAAAATACACCGTAAACGCAAAATCCCTTCATGTTGTCCCAATACAAATTGATTACATTATCTTAATTGTTTTACAAAATTTTATTTGACTAAACATAAATTAGGTTAAAAAAATAAAAATAAACCCAAGAATTGTGATGTTTCAGCATTACAACTAACAGACACCTCCTCACAATTTCTGTTTTTTTGTCATAGCACTGTCAAAACTGGCAGTTGGAGGGGCCCAATGCCTCAGACAGATGTAATCTAAAAATTATATTGAAAACCAACAGGAAGTGAATTTATAGATTTTATTAAGTGAAGTTTATTTATAAACTAATTTTGAGAGGATCATGTGCTTATGATTGTTTGCAGCCGGCCCCGCATTATTCAATTTTTGATTCACCAATCAGACGATTCCTATCCCCTTCTATCCCTACTTCTCCTTTCCTAGATGGGTGGCACGGTGGCCCAATGGTTAGCACTGTTGCCTCACAACAAGAACGTCACTGGTTCTAGTCCTTACCAAGCCAGCCAACATTTCTTTGTGGAGTTTTTATGTTCTCCCCGTGCTCACATGGGTTTCCCCTGGGTTCTCCGGTTTCCTCCCACCGTCAAAAAAAAATGCAACCTAAGTTAATTGACTAATCCAAATCGGCATCATGGACCTGCGCCTAGTAAATAGTTATCTCTTAGGAGTAATCACTATCTGTTCATTAGCTACTATAGCAGGGGAGTTCTCGAGATCTTCATGAGCTCAAATTCCTCTCTCACCTTGCAAATGGGAGGGGGCCCCGGGCTCGAGGATCTTATGAGCTCAGGGCTCTCTCCCGGGACAGCATGCCAAACAAGCTTTATAAACAATCATCAGCTAAGTGTGAACTCTTGAAAAGATTACAAGGGCAAACAATTTATTTTTTTAATGACATTCACAGATGAATTGTTCGCCCCAAAACCAAATACATTTTTAGTTTTGATTTCATGTGTACTTTTAATACCCAATGTGTACTTTAATCTTTCCAGTGTGCAACAATGTTGGAAAACTGTAACTGGGGAGTGCAAACACCTTGAACAGTTAAGGAAAATCCACTCTTTCATTTCCTATTTTCCTCAGCATCTGGAGTAGATGGATGCTTAATGGGAATATGTGTTCCATCAATGCAACTCATGACTCCAGGGAAATTTTTCATATTCATATAATAGTACCTTGTAGTTAACCTTGGTTGTAGGATAAGGGAAGTTTATGTAATATGGCCTTAACACACTGTTGCTTCACTGACACCACATAAATCCCCAGTTTTTGCACCACATGCCAAAAAGCTTAAAAGTTAAATGAGGACCTGGAAACAAACTGCAACAAGCTGTTCTGTTTTGTGTATGTGGAAACAAAGTCTAAAATGTATTTAATCAAATT